TTTGCCAATGTTTGTTTTGCGTGACTGCTAAAGCATGTGTATGCTACTATGCTTATTAACTAGGGGACCTACGCCCTTAAGTCATAAATGACAGTAATGAGGTTTAATGCCCCACAAAAGGGCACTAATATAGCACATCGACACGGTTTTGATCCTGGGGCCTCACAGTTACGAGGCCATTGCTTTGTCACTGATCCATGACTGTACGCAGCGGGGGCTAGGGTAGGGGGCGGTTTCAATAAATTTAAAAAAAACACAGAAAATGCATTACATTTTCAATAATTTATTGCATTTTACCCCGGTTCCCAACATACATTTTTTTCTGTGTGCCCATGCCTTGAGCCATAATGCATGGCCGTCCAGAGGTATCAGAAGCACAAATAATAAGAGCGGAACTAGAGGTTGCATGAGCGGAAGTAGAGGTCGGGGTTGTAATAGTTTCAATCAAGGTCTATCAAAACATGTCATCAGTGCAATTGAATAAAGAAAGTGCTCTTATATTTCACACACATTAGCGTATATATTTAACTTGTCATTAGAAAGTGGCAAGGTTCGAAAAGTAATTTCATAAGTAGTGGAGGCAAAAAATAGGTATGAATGGTAAACTGAATATCGCCGGCGAGGAAATTAAAGAGGTTGATGTTGCAACTTTTGTTGGGGGTTCACATTGATACAAAATTTGTCTTGGAATAATACATTCTGTCCCTAGCCATACTCTGATATTGTTATATAAAGCATTTATACAAGCACACATTTCTTACGAGGTGTGTGGAAGCACTAATATGACTAGCATAAGAAGCATATTGTATTCACAGAAATGGCAGTTGGTGATATAATATTTAGTGAATAGAAAACTCCTACTGCTCCATCATTTACAAGATTGCGAATCCTAACTGTGTATAATTTACAAGATTTATCAATTTCTACTTTCATGTTTGATCTAGTCAATGACAATTTGCCTCATACTGACATTAAAGAGCATAGCTATTCCACAAGACAAAAATAAGGTGGACAATTACGTCTTCTAAAATTGAGAACGACACAAGGTCATTTTTCATTGTCTTTTGTGGGCAGTGAATTTGGGAATAGATTACCTATTTATGTCAGATTAACAAGAACTAGAAATAGATTTCGGAATTCTGTTACAAGGCACTTGCTGAACAAATCATGAATGCAATATCAAATTAAATAGTCTGCATATGTACAAATAAATTTATTTTTTATTATTAGTTTGTATATTGTAAGACATTGTTAAGTGTTCTTAGTTGTTAAGTATCGATTTCGTTTTGTTACGTTTTCTAAACTGATTTGTACCAACATACTTTAGCTGTTTAAGGGGTTATATGCTCGACTAGCAAATGTGCTATTATCTGGCCCCCTTTTACAAAACATTAGTTTCTTTTCTTGTATATGTGATATGATCACATTGTATGAAATGTATTACTTTATTGCTGTTGTTAAATAAACTAAAACAAAATCAAATTAAATCACTTGACTGGCAGTCACGTTCACAGACTGATTTGTCGTATTTGTACTCTGTTTTTTTTTTTTATAGTGCAAGTCAAATACAATATTGATACAAAATGCAACAATGGGCAAACATGTACAATTGAATGTAAAAGATGCATGAAATAGATGTTGGACATTCCCTGAGTGAGCTCGGACAGTGATAGGGGTGACGTGGGGAATTTTTTTTCAAAAAGGCTTAAATCGCAATCGGGATTGCAACCGAGAATTTGTGATATCTAAAAGCAGGAACGAGAGGTCGGTTTTGATGACATCACTGATCAAGAGGCAACTATCAAAATGTCTTAGTCTGTTAATAGACTTTGTTATTGAAAGAGTGTTTAGCTACACGCACATGTAGGATACCTTTAGGATACTTAGGATCTTCATGTAGGATACCCTTTTCACACCAACAACCTGTTCCATGAAAACAGAATCCTAAAACTATCAGACTTATTCTATTGCAATGTTGTTATATTCATGTACAATTTATCTACTAATGACCTACCTGAAATATTTTTACAAATGTTCCGGAAAAATAAATCCCTACATGATTATCCCACACGTTATACTATTAGGCTATTATTATTATTATTATTATAAAAAAGGATTATGTTTACAGGACCCAGTTACTGGAACGCTCTCGTTAAAGTTAATTAAAAGTCCTTCCTTATATATTTTTGAACGTAAACTGAAGGAACTGCTTTTCAAAGCAATCTTGATGTCAATGTATGTCCTTTGCGTGCAAGCGCGTTGGGTTTGGCTGTCGTGCTTTCGGAAATACGTATTTAAAAAAAAACCAACAACAACAATAAAACATCTTTACTTCTATATCCGAGAGTGCGAAGGCTGACACAGTGTGCTTGTTCGCTTCGTTATTCTATTTATGTATGTAATATACAAATGTATTCATTTTATTATTATCTGTAATGTTCGTTTACCCGCTAAGCACCCATTGTATGATAATTTAAGTAAGTGTACTTTTATCTACACTGTAAGAAAGGAAGGGATAATATAAACAGCACCACCGCAAGTTTATTATTATTTCCTTTATATTTTTTGATTCATTTAGACTGGTCACTATTATATCCGTTCTCCATTTATTACCACAAAAACTTCACAGCTGTACAAGCTTGCTGTCATGTAGGTCCCATCATATTTCTCTTAGTTAAATCAGTACTTCATATTGACCACTTATCTTTGTTATTTATTATGTATTATTGAAAATAACAATTTTGTACTTTATTTGAAATGTATATGTAACATGAGAAATATGAAAATAAATGAAATGAAATGAAATGAAACATGTATTTCCTTCATCATTAGCACCCCTTTAGCTCTAGGCAAACAATATTTATGATACATGTACATGCATTGCCTCTTATAGAAAATCAAATTCTCCGCATATTTTCGTTGCGAAACGTTTCCAAATATCGATATATTTATAGACTTTCAACTAAAAATTGTTGAAAGACGCATAAATGATGGCTCACTTAATCTGTAGTATACAGGGGAACGATATATATCTTGTGTCAAATATTTTCTCTTGACACGTGGTTTATTTGCTAGATAGCAAATTCTACTATGAAGGAAGGTCAAGGCCAAGATAAATTCCTATTCATCAAGAAAATGAAATCAAAGATTATAGTTTGCCTGATGATTGGACAGTTTGATCAATTGTCGTAACAGAGGATGGACATGATTTTGGATAAATATAAAGTTTAATGACACTTTCTCTCTCAATTTTCTTTCATAATGGTATTCAATTGAAATATTTGTCATGGGAAATAATTCATTTTACATTTGAAGACTCAAGTTCAGGTTTTAGTTTTAATTACATCGATTAAAATTTTGCATGAATACAAATAAAAGTCGAAGACATATATAATTGATTAGTGTTCACCTTCATCTGCAGTTGCAATTATTGGTTATGAAGAGAAAAGATTTGCATGTTGATACTATCTGTCGCGTAAACACAGAAATCATAGAAATTCATCTCGTATTGATTTTGGAATGATTGTGTATCCCTAATATACTGTACTGGAGGATTTGACGAACTTGAAAAAGAACGACTAGATTCTAGTTCAGGAAAAACTGTTGTGAATGTCCTTCTTTAACTTCCATCATATGACTACATTTAGGAAATTAAATGAAAACATATTCACAAATTGTATTTCCCTTGTAGTCTATAATTTGCTGTGGAAAGTGATATTATAAAAGTACTACATGTATAATGAAAGTCACAGTAGTAACAACGAAAATGCTTCTTGCTACACAGGACTGTATGAATCATGCTTCTTTTGTACATTTAAGAAATGAAATGAAAACATATTTACAAAATGTATTTCTCTTGTAGTCTATTATTTATTGTGAAAATTAATATCACAAAAGTACAACATGTATTTAGTACAGGAACGTCACAGTAGTAACAACGAAAATGATTCTTGCTACACAGGACTGTATGAATCATACTTCTTTTGTAGATTTAAGAAATGAAATGAAAACATATTTACAAAATGTATTTCTCTTGTAGTCTATTATTTATTGTGAAAATTAATATCACAAAAGTTACAACATGTATTTAGTACAGGAACGTCACAGTAGTAACAACGAAGATGATTCTTGCTACACAGGACTGTAACACAGAAGCAAAATACACGGCAAGACATGTATTGTTTAGCTTTAGCTTGATATTCTACAGACATACAAGATTTGGGTACATTGAATGAGATAATGTGTTAACAATAAACTGCTTCATTGAAAAATTCCTAAAGAAAAAGGCAGAGTAACATACTAAATCAGCTTTCTTATATTTGTTACTTAGATATGGCACAATTAGTACACTCTTCATCTTTGCAAATTTGCAAAATCGCATCTTAAAGACACATTACATGTATATAGGATAGATACAAAACTGAGTAATAATAATAATACTTAAAAAACGGTGCTTATAAAGCGCTTACCACCGAAGTCTCTAAGCGCTATAAATAATGTATTTATCTAGCTTGTTACCCCTCTCTCTTTCTCTCTCTCTCTCTCTCGCTCTTTCTTTTTTCCCCTTTGCTATCTTCTGACTTTTTCATCCAACCATGTTGTATATCATGTACTGGGTTTGTGCCGGTTGTTATGCAATTTCTGAATGATACTATCCGAAACTTTACTTGCTACTTGTTTTCTTACTATGTTTATTATATCTAATTTGATAGGAAGCTGTCCAGACAAAACCTTTTCTTGGTTTTTTTAATTTTTTTTATAGCTGTGCCTTATTCTGTTTTGTATTAATTCATTTCACATGTATATACTATCCCAATTTATGTATTATATTGTACATGAAATTGTATGTTTTTACTTTGTAAAAATGTTTTTAAAGATGGAATTCAATAAACTGAACTGAACTGAACTGAGCTATAACAAACTAAATAAAATGATAAACAATTACATATTTAAAAAAAACTAAAAAACAAACAAACAAATTAACCTACAAATTACAATTCATATAAAATATACATCAATGTGAACAGAGTAAGTTAATCATCAAAAGCAATTTTGAATAAATGTGTCTTAGGACAAGTTTTGTATCGGTTAACAGTCTGACAGTTTTCGACATTTAAAAGTAGTTTGTTCCAAAGTTCAGCAGAAGCTTCATTATACAGACTACCCTTTTGAAATGAGATGTATAGCTTTTATAGGTTGACCATATTCATTGATGCACATAATTAATCACTTGGTATTAAAAAAAGTGCACAGAAAGGGAATAAAAACCACTCAAGAGGAATGTTGATCATTCTTAACCTTATTGTTCAATAAGCCACTTCGGAGGTAGCCCACATAGTTGGCCCACATATCTACAGATCCTTTAAACGTGGAGAAGTCCCACCATGCATTTTAAAGATAATATTAATAACCAAAAAGAATTAAAGCTAGTGAAGCGGTACCTTGTGGTTCTACTATTTATGCTGTACCATTACTTCCTACAATGATATCATAACATGACTTGATGAAGTCCATCTGATGTATCAGACTGACTAATAGACCTAGACCCATTGTTCCGACCAAGTTTTCCCTAGAATACGAGGGTCAGTATGTTGCTCGATCAATCAGACAAGCGACTTGATCCTTAATGTGATCCTCATAGTGAAGACTTACCAATAGACCTAGACCCATGGTTCCCATCCCTGCCGAATTTTCCCTAGAATATGAGGGGCAGTGGCTTGATCCTCAACACTTAGTCCTTTAGACGGACACAACGCTTACTTGCTCTTATGAAGTCCATCTGATGTTCCGGTGATGACTGACTAATAGACCTAGACCCATGGCTCCCATCCCTGCCAGGTTTTCCCTAAAATGTGAGGGTATGTGGCTTAATCAACCAGACAAGCATCTTGATCCTTAACGTCGAAGGTGACTTGAGAGCTCGGAGAGTGTTCCGAGTCAGATCGAGATTTCTTCTGATGTTTATGTTGCCGAGCCATGACGAACATCAAGACGATCATGAGTATGATCACCAACCCGACGAGAGCGACAATACCCCCGATGAAATACTTTTTCATGTCGGACTGTGACTCTCCTCGAGTCGAACTAGAAAATGCAAGTTCAGTTGGGTCGCAAGGACTTTCTCTACCGATTCTTATTGTGGCAGATGATCTACGTTCAAGAATTGCATTCATCATGTGGTCATCGGTGCTCACGGTAACAACGCATGTGATCGTTGCCTCTTTGAAACCTTTAAAGTGAACCTCAGTAATGTAAATAATGTTATCTTCTGCCTCAGTTGTGATAATATCGTCATGTTCCCATTTTACCTCTACATTAGCAAGAAAATATGAGTGTATGGTCAAGCTGTAGCTGCACACAAACGTAGCATTCTCCCCAGGAATGACTTCAAGTTCTTTGGGCCAGATTGTTGCCTGAAGAACTTGGCCGACTGGCATATAGTCGGTCACATCTGATGGCAGGGTAGTTTCTCTGTTCTGATCATCGCTTGGACTGTATACAACCATTCTGGCTTCTGCAACTCCAAAAACATTTCTTGCCTGACACACCAGTGTACTACCATTATCGACTGGTGCTACAGGTCCAACCTCTACCACTCCGTAACCAGGAAACTCGACGTCGAACCGCTGAGAAGTGGCGGAAGATGCTTCCAGTGTGCAGTTGATGTCCGATATGAGAGGTGGGTTAGATACGGTGAATGCGTGGTATTCGTTTTTCTCCTGTACGAGGGTCTCCTCCCATTCTGAGAATAGCCACGCGCGGTTGACCGAATTTACAAGATCGCCGAATTTCGACAACATCTCCGTCACGGTAATATAGCCGGCATTCGAATTCGCTGAGCAATTCATCTCTACGAGCATCATACTTAGATTTAGTTTTGTAGCCACTCTGATGTGCATCTGAAACCTTAACGTCGTCTTTATACCACTGTACAGTGACTCCTGGAGTAGTCTTTTCTGATGTACACATCAGCTCCACGTCTTTGGAGATGTCGTCCGGTGTCGCCGTGCAAAGAGGGTAGTGGTCTGCAGGTGGATATTTGACGGTCAATGGAGCGTATGTAGATTTCACCAAGAGACTCCCAGAAGAGTTGAATAAAGCACAATAGTAACCAGTGTTGTCAGTCTGGTCTATCCTTTGAACTTGACGAATGGTCAGGTATTGTCTGAAACGTCCTGCCCCTGAGAGTCCACCTTCAATGCTATATCGTCCATCAGGGTCATCTAGTAAGATCTCAGTTCCTCCATCATTTGACCACCGTGCGATGACTTGGGTGGACGTCGAATATCTTGTGTTTCGGCACCACTTAATCCAACCGGTTCGCAATGAAGCAGCAGGGATTTGTCGAGATGGGGAACATTCAAACTCTGCTTGGGTGCCCTGGCTAACCTGAGCTTTGGTGTTAGAGCTGTAGTCAATCAGAATATTAGGTTTAGCATACTGGACATACGATGAGATGAGAAGAATCAAACACAGGTCTCTTCTAGCATCCATCATTCGAGATTTTTTGAATACTGGGAGGTCCGAAAATAGTGAATGCTGCGGTCGAGTTGCTGCCTCTATAATGCAAGATGAATATGCGGTGCTGATTTATATAGAAAAGTAGTTACACTTGGAAACAATGCCAGGAAGTAGAGTAAAAATATTTGACTGTAGTCTTGAAATTTAGACATTTCAGAAAGCTCATTTAATTCCAAATGCGTGAATAATAGTTTAAGATAATATTTGTATAAATGTAATTATGTATTTTGTGGAAATATATTGTCCTTCATTAGGCACAAAAATTATTTCTCTATTTCTCTACTTTTGCAGTAATTTACGAAACGATTTTACTTAAATAAGAATAGAGACATCCTTATTATGTTTGATTTGATTTGATTTATTTTCCACTCAAATATCCACAAATTAAATGATATATATAAACCATACAGTAATACAATATATAATAGAACAAACTACAAGTAACGAAATACTGACAACTATGTTCGTAATCAAATAAGTTTACAGAGTACATTTAAGTTTGAGAATTAGAAAAAATATTTTATATTGCTTGATTTAACTGAGAGGGGAAAAAAGGGAATCTCAGAAAAGCTAGGCTTGTTGAGCGAGATTCCCAGTATAAATTAAATAATGGACCATAAACAACGTGCATCAATTTCCGCACATGTCCGCTCCCGGAGAGACCAGAAACGCGCGAACCCACCCACCCGCACCAGATCCCCGGGTCTCCCCCGCAAAGGGCCATTCCAGTGGCGGATCCAGGGGCGGGGGGGGGGGGGGGGCCAGGCCCTCCCCCTTTAGAAAAAAAATCATATGATTTTTACCTTTTTTTTTTGGGGGGGGGGGTTGGCCCCCCCCCCCCCTGGCGCTCAAGGGGGGGGGGGGGGTGCAAATTTTTAAATTTTCGAGGACAAAAAAAGTGCTCCCTACCCCCCCCCCCCCCCCCCCCCCCACTGAATTTGAAAAAAAGTTGGGCCCCCTCCCCTAAGAAATCTTGGATCCACGCCTGGCCCATTCAGTGTGCATCAGTCTGTCGTTGCCAGGTCGCGACTTTGCGTTTTACACCCTGGCCTGGACCTTTTCCCAATAAATTTCAAGGAACCGACTGGGAAAAGTCTATCCATGACAAGATATTGCGCGCGCACGTAGCTCTTCTGCAATGCTCAACGTACGTCCTATATGTCCAGTGTCGCGGTACGCGGTACATGTACTTTTGTATCGAGACGTACGAGTGAGAGAAAAACAACGAATAACAACAGAAGGAAATAGAGAAAAACAATAAATAATTAAAGAACAGAGAGGAAACAAAGAATGTCATAAGCAGAGAGAGAAAACAAAAACTAACTTGAAAGAAAGAGAGAAATTAGAGAAGGAATTAATCAAAGTAAGGAAAGAGAGAAACCAAATAATATTATGGCTTTTGTGGTTTAATTCCGCCTTCTTCAGGGTTTCAATTTTTGACGTGTAGCCTACTTTCAAACCATTTGCTGATTCGGACCCCCCCCCCTAACACACGTGTACACATATCGACACATACACAGACTACACTCGACATAATATGTGTAATGGTAATGTAATACATAAACTGTGATTTAAATATTGCACTCGTACCATTTTCTATTATTGTGGGATCACGTCTTTCATTTTTTAAATTCATGTCATTTGTTTCTAAGACCTAATTTCTCTAATTCTCTTGACCCCTCTCCCTTCATATTTGTTTTCTAAGACCTCCCCCCCCCCTCATCTCTCTTCATATTTGTTTTCTAAGACCCATTTCTCCCCCGCCCCCCCCATCTCTATTCATATTTGTTTTCTAAGACCTCTCTCTCTCGACCCACTCTCTCTCTCGTATGTATTTCTCAGACCCCTCTTTCTTTCTCTCTCATTAACCCCCTCTTCATATTTGTTTCTAAGGCCTCTCTCTCTCTCATATTTGTTTCTAAGACCCCCCCTCTCTTTCTCATTTCTTGATATTTGTTTCTAAGACCTCTCTCTCTCTAGCTCTCAATTCATGATATTTGTTTCTAAGACCCCCTCTCTTTCTCACTTCTTGAATTCATATTTGTTTCTAAGACCTCTGTCTCTCTCTCCCTTTCTCTCTTTCTCATTTTAAATTCATGATATTTGTTTATAAGACCTCTCTTTCTCTCTTTTTCCATTCATCACTTTGTCTAGTGTAATGTACAGACACATAACATATAAAGGAAATTATACACCAGTTTTACATGAATTCATTTGCACTTTATTTACTGCTTTACATTCATATACTTTTTTTTTTCGTGAAGGTAATCTAATCCTTCAATGTCAGAGAAGTAATACAAAAGATACAGGAGTATGTGTATGCATAAATAGTTATATAAAGAAGAAATATGTAGTAAAAGTGAAAGCAAACAATAGTAGAAATTTGAACAGATAATTTGACAGTGTGTTAAGATTTAGATGCAAGAAATGATCGAGGAGCGTAGACTAGACTCATTCAAGCAGTTTCATTGCTATTTACCGGGAAAATGTCCAGGCCAGGGTGTAAAACGCAAAGTCGCTGCCAGGTCGAGGAAGCTCAAGGTCTGTCCGACCTATAGCAACGAGCAACATAAAATATTGCGCACCGAACAAGCCCTTACAAAAGAAACACAAAGATCCGGCATAGGCAGCCGAACCCGCGCGTCCGGAGACTCTCCTGGAACAAACACGCGAAAACCAGACAACACGCCGAAGATTGTCCAATAGTATTTTGTTCGTTATGACAACAAGATATCTAGTTGGATGAACATTTGCGCATGCGTCTTTTCAAGAGGGTGCACTCAGGGGCGTCGTTAGACCTTTTTCAGTGGGGGGGGGGGTGTATAGGTCAACGATTACCGACAAAACTAGCCACCAATTGCCGACAAAATTAAATGTCCTAATATCTACAAATTTAACCCTATAAACCCGGAACCGAAGGCTACATTTTTTTCCATGGACTATAATAGTACTTGCGTAAATATACGAATTATTTCGTTAACTTAGTCAGCATCATAGCTATATATTTTAATGCAGGCGCGGAGCTATATTAGGATCTTATTTTAGAAGGGGGGGGCGTGGGGGAAAATCCTCCCGCGCAAAGCGTGGAAGCTTAGGCGTTTCCTTAAATATTAGGAAAAGAAGACGATTTATTGTACCGTTCTCGACTGTTAATCCTTGTCTGAATGAAGTTTCCCCCCACCTCGCGCGAAGCGCGAAAGCTTTGACGTTTCATTAAATTATTATAAAAAGAAGACGATTTGCTGAACCGTTTTCGACTGTTAATCCTTGTCAGAACTTAGTTTTCCCCCCTCCCGCGCAAAGCGCGGAAGCTTTGACGTTTCATTAAATTATTAGGAAAAGAAGACGATTTATTGTATTGTTCTCGACTGCTATTCCTTGGATAAATGAAGATTCCCCCCTCCAGCGCGAAGCGCGAAAGCTTTTACGTTTCATTAAATTATTAGAGAAAGTATCCGATTCGGTGTACTGTTCTCGACTCTTAATCCTTGTCTGAATTCAGTTTCTCCCCTCTCGCGCGAAGCGCAGAAGTTTTGAGGTTTAATCTAATTATTAGAGAAAGTAGACGATTCGTTGAACCGTGCTCGACTCTTAATCCTTTTCTGAATGAAGTTTCCCTCTCCCGCGCGAAGCGCTGAGGTTTTGACGTTTCATTAAATTATTAGAGAAAGCAGACGATTCGTTGTACCGTTTGCGACTCTTAACCGTAATTTGTCTGAATTCAGTTACCGGCCTCCTCCCGCATGAAGCGCGGAAGCTTTGACGTTTCCTTAATGTATGAGAGAAATCAAACAATTCGTTGTACTCTGTTCTCGACTCTTAATCCTTAACTGAATTCAGTCCCCCCCCCCCCTCCCGCGCGAATCGCGGAAGCTTAAACGTTTCCTTAAATTATTAGAGAAAGAAGACGCATCGTTGTACCGTTCTCGACTCGTCTAAATGAAATTTTTCCCTCCCATGAGCATTTGTTTACATCAATAACCCACTTCTTGTAATGGCCAAAATTAAACTGATTGAATCTTTGCGCAGCATAAAACGTACAACCATTCGGTACAATGGTCTGAAAATCAGACTATAACTTTCTGGCTCTATAGCTCCTAAGTCAATTCGACAACTAATAGTCGTTATTTTCCCACTTAAATATATTTTCAAGCTCCCCCCCCCTTTTTTAGGGAAGTTCTAAATTAGTATTATCTTTCAAATGCCGTTGGAATTAAACCTTTTTATTTTTTGGGGCCTGCAAAAGGGACATACTACCTTTAAAGCAATGATTAAATTGCTTCTCGAATGTGGTGACAAAGCTCCGACTTTCGTTGCAAAGGACCTGAACAGGCTCCCGCCTGTTAGTTTTGACAGCCTCGATGTGTCAGCCTTGCTGGGAAGACTTCAGAAACTAGAGGGTGAAATGACAGCACTGAAGAAATCTGTTATGTGCCAGGCAAAAGTTACTAAGGATATTCAACTAGTTACATCCGAGATGGATTCACATGTGTCGGCTATCTCTACGGTGCAAGAAGCTTCTAGTTCCACGCCCACCACGTCTACTGTACCAGTACCACAAGAAGTCCGGAGTGAGGATCTTTGGAGCCAGGTGGTACGTCGGGGTGGGAAGCGTAAGACCCCTTATATTGAGCCCAACTCCAGCCAGGCCCAAAAACAACCTCAGGAAAGGCCACGGCCCAAAAGCAAGCCGGGTATAGTGGGGACAGCCACTGTAGAGAAAATTCAAGCTGTGAAGACTAAGAAGGTCAATGTCTTTGCTACTCGGTTCGACCCTGATCTTAATTCTACCATGCTACAGGAGTACCTAAAAGAAAGACTGAATGACTCTGTTAAGTGCCGAAAGATAGAAATGGAGAATGCTTGTTTCTCATCGTTTCAGGTTACCGCTTTATGCAATGACGTCCGAGTATGCACCTGATATCTGGCCAGATGGTATTTTTGTTAGGATGTTCTATGAGCCTCAGAAGCAGGGGTCTGTGACACTTTTAGAGTCTTCTGGACCTGTGAGCAGCAGTCATTCAATACTCGAAGAGAAGAGCCA